TGTTGGTATTTCGAAATTTATTAATTTGTACACTAATCAATTCTTGGAAAATTTCAGTTAAGAATAATTATAACACACTGAAACGAACGAAATGCTTAATTATTTTTTAAATATGTTATTCTTCCACGACTGTAAATAAATAGTCGATTACCGATTAGTGCCGATTTGTCTATAAAGATATTATAGATACTGCCAAACTTTGGCACTGCCAGCTATCTACTCTGCACCTACTGTGGCAAATTTTTCTCAACTGGGCAAAATTTAATGTATTTGTCGGAGTTTATTTACATTATCCGGGACCCTTTTTTTTATTACCAACTTCATAACATTTTTTGTTCTAGATATTTTTCAGTGATGATTCATGGATTATCATAATCGAAATAAAAATCGTATCATTTGCTTATTTGCTGAAATTAACATTTTTCCCATTGTTTTTCTACTGTAGAAAAGGGGATTTTTTTTTAAGGATCCAAGGTGGTACCTACAATGTGATGAAAATTCTCGAATAATCCTAATTTTGAAAATGATCATTATTCTGGCGGCAAAAATTGTCAAAATTACTTGTGCAAGCCATTTTCATTATTTTTTTTTTAATGTAACTACCTACCTTCATATTATACACGGGTACTGCTATTATTTGCTTCATTGGTGTAAAGGTACCTATAGCAAATAGAATCGGTCCAGGATCAAATAGCTCTTGAAGAAAATTGCCCAGAAGTATACCTACCAACTTTTGCTTTCAAATTTAATTCAAGTTAAATCCGGCATCGGCAGGGCAGATAACTTATTTATTAAGTACATAGTTCGAAAACAGTCAATTCTCGATATCCAAAAATTGTAGACAAGGGAGAAGTAGAACTAGAACAGCCAATTTGCAAAAACAAGAAAAAAAAGGCCGGTAGGAATTGACAGGATTGTCAGCTTATTGTTCTCCAGAACATTCGACTAGAAGTCGAAGGTGTGTGATAAGTGGTGTCCTGCTGTCTCAATTCATGCATCTGAATAATTTAGATTAATGCAATAATGTAAGTCACTTTATACAAAGAAAGACGGCAACAAAAGCTAGTAGTGATAGGCCAAAATTTCCGCACTGGTTCTCTCCTGATCTTGTTAAAAAAATTAGACTAATAAATAAATCGCATGAAAATAGGGCTCACTCCACTGAGTACAAGGAGCTCAGAAGTGTCGTTAAGTCTCAGACTAGGCAGGAATTGTTGGCATATCAAACTTTCATTGAGCAAAATGCAGATATAGATCCCAGCAGCTTTTGGGGATACATCAACTCGAAAAGCAAGGAAACGGGAGTGCCTAATGAGGTGAAATATAATAACGAGCCTTATATTGGTAGTTTTGAGATTGCCAATGCATTTGCATACCTACTACTTTGACAATGTTTTCGAGCCTGCAGATGCAAATGAGGGTAGCTCAGTCAATATCAATTGGTGCAACTTCTATTCTCCTGAGGAGATGTCTGAGGATGTCTTGAACAGTATAAACAAACTAAAACCCAAGAAGTCAGTGGGCACTGACAAAATACCTGCATACATCTTCAAGGGGTGTGCTGATGCATTGGCACCTCACTCATATTTTCAACTGTGCCATAAACACTGGTGTCTTTCCGGAAGTATTCAAGAAATCTGTTATTCTAATTCATGAAAAGGAAAGCACAACAGATGTTGGAAACTATAGGCCTATTAGTATTCTTAACCCCATTGTGTAATCAATTCTCTAAATTGTTTGAGAAACATATTGTTAGGTAAAAGCGTGGCTTCATCTCTGGCAAATCGATAGTATCCAATCTATGTGAGTATGCAAATGCAGCCTTTGCTGCGATTGATAGTGGTTTGCAGTTGGATGTAATCTACACTGATGCAGAGAAGGCGTTCTATAAAGTTGATCACCACCTACTTCCCCAAAAATTGATTCCTACAGGATTGACTGAAAGATCTTTTACACTTATCAAGTCTTATTTGTCATACAAGCCCTAGGTACTGTTCGGGAGCCAAACCCAAACTAATCCAAAAATTGATTCTTACAGGATTGACTGAAAAATCTTTCAAACTCATCAAGTCTTATTTGTCATACAGGCCCTACTGTTTGCACTGGCATGGAACTATCTGAGCAATAGTTTAGCTCTGGGCAGCAATTCATCTCCCCTACTCTTTACAATATTCATAAATGACCTACCTGACTGTATTGGAAATTCTGACTGTTTATTGATGATTTCAAGATCTTCAGAGTGGTCTCTCCGCAGGCAGATTGTTAATTTCTTCAGAACGATTTATCCATTGTCAGTGCCTGGTTTGCCGACAACAAAATGTTTTTGAATGTCAGTAAATGCTTCTGTATGACGTACACAAGGCGTCGCCAATATCTAGAATACAGTTATAATTTGGATGCTGATATGCTCGCAAGAAGGGACCGCTGTGAGGACCTGGAAGTGACTTTCCAATCCAACATGAAATTTAATTTGCACTATCAGAAAGTTGTTAATAGGGCATTTAGTGTCTTGGGCTTCATAACTAGAAATGCCAAACATTTTCATAAAATTAATACGCTATAATAATAATAAAGCTCTATTATGCCTTCGTCAGGCCCCACTTGGAGTATGCATGTAGTATCTGGTCACCTGCAGCTGACTGCAATAAAGACTTGATAGAAAAAGTCCAAAAGAAATTTTTGAGATATTTGTAATTCAAACAATATCATGTATATCGTATATTTCCTCTGCTAGTGTCATATGGAATTATGTTGGAAACCTTCAAGATTTAGTAGGTATCTGAGTAGGAAAAGGGCAGTTCAATCCTTACTTTTTATTTTCCATGTAGTCGATGAAACTAAATATACAGAATATGTGAATTTATTAATCTTATCAAATTTCATGTTCCTAAAATTAACCATAGACTAAGGAACTACAACATTTTTGTGATAAACCGGTGCCAGAGCCAGCCTGATAGAGTGTAGCGATATCTTAGAGAATCTATTTTGTTTTATGAAGCCAAATGGAAAAGAAGTCAAATTAAAGACTTTTTTGCTTTGTCCATCGTTTTGAGATGATATTTTATTAGGCAATGCTCATAGAGATTTTTTTCTCCAAAGATTTGTATGAAGATACAAATGTTTTCTAACTCTTCTAAAAAAAGGGTAATCTCAATCATCTCATTCTACGAGTGATTTAAAATATAATGAGGTTTCAGATTGATTTACTATTCTGATAAAATCAAATCATGCTGGTAGTTTTCATCAGGCATTAGAAGAAGAGATCATTGATAAACCAATAAATCATCGGCCTACATTTTAAGGTGCCAAAATGTTGCAATTGCAGATAAAAAGATACAAACATCTATCGGTTATAATTCGCATTATATAAAGACGGGCGCTTTGCCGATGGTGCAACGATAAAAATCCAATTTAAGCAATCTGGTTCTAAACTTGAAGGAGAAAGAAAGTACCAAAGCACGAATTAGTAGCGTTTTGTAATTTTTAGTTATTTTTACTGAATAAACATTGATTGGTAATGAATTCGGTGAGGTCACAGCTTTTGCAATAAAACTTATATCAAAGATTGAGATCCTCACGTACCGAGCGTGAAAATTGGATCATTTTTAGCAAGAACCTCATCATGTTCAACATTTTACTTTCACTCTGGGACATTTTCATTGCGTCATCGTCTTTGCACCGTGATGCATTTAAAACGAAATTTCGCCTAACTGTAACAACAATTGACCATTCAGAAAGTTAACAATAAAGAATACTTATATTGTTTTTAGAAACATTGTTTTGCAAGAAATGTCTTCGATGTATAATTTACATGGATTTAAACGACAAAAACATTTTCATATTATTTGGAAATCTTGATATATTTGCGAATTTTCTGGAAAATGCGGTTTCATACAAAATCGGTCTATTTTATTCATCCAGGATTTTTGACATTTTTGTCTAATGATACCTAGGTGAAAAATATTTCATGACTCCTGATTTGGAAGTAGCTGGGAGACCACAAAATGGCCGCTCAAAAACTGACCATGACCAATAGAAACATTTATATGACTTTTGATTCGAATTAAATGCCGGGAATAATCACTCAATCAATTCTTCAATGTAGTAACTCTTTTAGATTCTTGCTACCATAAATCCGCCATTTTATTTTTGATTATAAATTGTTTTATGACAATAGGGAGCTACAAAATGGCGTCAGAATTTGTTCAATTTCAATTTTTGATTATTCCTGGATCTTGATCCGATTGGACGTCAGAACGTATATATGAAACGTTAGTTGCAGAAGCTGAGAACGTCCAGTGGATGCTTTATTCTAATGCAAATGCTACAACTTCAAACTTGATATAAACGTCTAAATACCAACATTTTAGAAACGTTTAAATAGCGTCTCTCAGAAGGTCCACTGGACGTGCTTTAAAATATCCAAGAACGTCCAACAATTACCAATAACGTCTCTTATATGACTTTTTTTATGTAAACATACTTATTAGTTATTAGTACCATACCTATAGGAAGTTTCGACATTGAACGGACATCAAAAAAACGTCCATCGTACCATTTGTGCTATCAGGGACTAGATTTTGGTGGTATCAGCATTGAAAAGGAACAAAAGATTGATGTCCAAGACCTCCGATAGTGTCCATCACCTTCTCATCAACAAATTGTCTGAGAGTAACTATTTGGGTTGGCCAACTCAAACCTTTAATATTTCATCAAATATGAAATAACGCTATTGCGTAATGAGTCAATTTAAATAATTTTCTATTTTGAAAGCCGAAAATATTGAAAACAAATTAGAATTTAAATTGACCAGTTTTGTAATTAGGCCAAAAGCAAAATTAATCGGCGTTCATCGTTAGATGGTGGGCGTGATACCAATATTAAGAATCCTTGAAAACTTTTACCTTTTTTTGATGCAACACCAGCATTCTTTGAATTTTAATCAAAACAACAAAAAGTAAACATAAAAAAATAAACTTTATTCAAAAATAATTTGTCACCGTTTCTTAAAATCTAATGAGCATTATAAAAGCGAAAATATAAAATAAGTTGACTATATACAGAAAATCAAAGGATTAAGTGTCCTCAAAACATCACAAATACTCCCATCACAGGATCAGATACATCTCATTATAAACAATTATTGTCAGCCTATTTGAAAAAATAAATTATATAATGTGTATTTAAAAAATACCCGTAAGTGGAATGGTGTTGAATTTAAATGATTTATTTGTGGTAACCGGGTGGGCCGTATTTGGAGGAAGAACCACCTGAACCGCCTACAACAGTACCTTCCAAAGAACCTCCGCTTGAGAATGAACCTCCTTGGGCACCGCCAAGATCGCCAGCACCATGACCGGACAGATCGACACCAGATAAATCACCTCCAGCACCAGAAACTCCAGCACCGGCACCAGCGTAACCTCCAGCACCTCCTTGTTCCTTTTGGGTCTTGTAACGGATGAAGTAAACTTCTGGTTTGCTGGGTTGCGTTGGTGCAGGGCTTGGGATAACGATATCTTGTTGTTCTTCTGGTTTCTTAACCAAAACGTAAACCAAAGTCTTCTCTTCGTTTTGAGGTTGGGCTGGAATGATTGGAGCTTGTTGATTGGGCGCGCTTGGTGCCTTGATGAAAATGATTTTGTAGTGTTTTTGTGGGGCGGCTAGAGAATGTACTCTGGGCGCTTGTTGTTCTTGGGGTTCTTCAGGAGCGACGTGAACGTAGACGTGTTTGTGTACTGTGGGTCCTGCACTGTAACCAGCACCTGCTCCACCACCGAAACCGGCTCCGCCGCCGAATCCTGAACCGCCTGAGGAGCCATCGAATCCTCCTCCTAAAGAGTGACCTCCGCCGAAACCTCCTCCACTACCTCCTCCTACGGAGTAACCTCCGCCAAGTCCTCCGCCGAGTCCTCCTCCTAATCCTCCGCCGAGTCCTCCTCCTAGTCCTCCACCAAAACCTCCGCCGCCACTGTGACCTCCTCCAAGGCCTCCGCCGATACCATGACCTCCTCCGAGGCCTCCACCGATACTGTGACCTCCGGACGAAGGTGATGGGTAGTTGTAGCCCACTGGTGGTTCAGGACGGGCTGAGGCAAAAGCAACGAAGAATGCGAACTGGAAAATGATAAAATAATTATTGGAGAATAAAAGCTAAAGATACAATGATACAATTCATAAATTTAAATGTTAACGTTTGACGAAAGAGAATGAGTTTTTTTTTGTCTCTTATCTCTCATCATCACTTGATACATGCATTTGAAATTTAAATGACATTTAATAGAAAAAAATAGAAGCACAAATCGTGAAATTAAAATTCCCAGGCACAATTATTTCAGGAAATATCTGCTGATGACTGCAAAGTGTAAAACCTATAATCTCAGCACAGTATACAATGAAAGTTAAAATATAACAAGAGTAGGTTTATGAAATTACCTTGCATTTTTTGGATCAGTAGGTATATGAAAATAAAAAAGAAATAAAATAATAAGAAAATGTCAATGTAAAAATATTAGTTGATTAAAGTGGAAATAAAGCTCTATTGCAATGTATGATTTTCAAGTAAAAAATATTTTTGAGAAAACTGATTTTGCAGTCAAACACAGTCACAAATAATTGGCTACATAAAAAAAAAACACGAAACAATCTGCACAATTCAATTTTCAAAAATTCACTGTTTAAAATCACTTCACTTTTCCAACCTCTAACCATTCTATAGGGTTGAAACTTTCACTATAATAAACTTACCAGAAAAGGCTTCATTTTATCCAAATATTGTGTTGTATATCGGTCAGGTGTGAGACACTGATTTAAACTATATCTCAACTTTTTATAGTTTAAATTCGACTACTGGGACCCCCTCTTGACACTTTTTAGAATGGCGCACCGCGGATGATGATGATGATGGGTACATATACGAAATTATTATTACACGTTGTAATGTAGTTCTTTTTGGGCGAGTTTTATTAAGTGAATGTTTTTTTTTTGTTTATTCATATTATTACACAAGGTAAAATATGAATTGATGATAACTATTCATTATATACGTGTCATCATCATGATGCCCTTTCGTGTCTTCCATTCTAAAAAGCTTCAGGGTATTATTATACTAAAAATAGCGTATACTGTAACAAATTTTCAATAAAATTCGTGGACATTTGATGATTCTATTATGCATTTTCCGATTATTTTTGTCGTTGATCAAAATAAATTATATACTTTCAGAAAGAGAATTAAATTCACTATAAATTTGTGTAAAATTGAGTTTGATAACTCAATTACTTTTTGAGCAATTGAGCCTCAAATTTGAATTTTAGTCGACATTTAGTCAAAAACTTCTAACTCAATTTTCTCAAACACTATAAACGTGGAAATAGTTTACAATAAAAATTTAATAGAGCTTAATAGGAGCTACAATTCCTGAAAATTTTGATTCAATATTTTTCAAGTTATTGAAATTTTGAAATAAGAATCCAGAGGGTAGGTATACTCTTTGAAAAAAATTCAAAAGTTTTCATATTTTCCGAATTTTAACTTTCCCAATCGATAGAGCGGCTCTGAATTAGTCGAAAAAAAATCCTAACATCTTTTCCACTTGACCACTTTAAATAGAAAAAAAAATCAAAAAGAAAATTTAATTTTGATTTGTTTTTGAATCATGAAACCAATTGAATCCTCTACAAATCACTAATTTGAAGTTTCGTTGCAGCTTCGATAGTTTGACAGTTATAAGGCTCTAAAGTTACCGCACAAAAAAATTACAAGGCCTATTCGGTTTTTTGACATCACTTCATATTTTGGCTCATAACCCTGTCAATTGTCAACCGCTCGTAGGGCGGGAGTTTTTTAGATTTCGAACCCATAGGGCGTGAAACTATAAAAACTCCGGCCCTTCGGGCTCGCAATCAAAAACACTCTCGCCCTACGGGCTCGTAATTATAAATACTCCGGCCCTTCGGGCTCGAAGTCCTCGAAACAAAAAGACGCCATTTTGTATCAACTGTCAAAAATAATTTTACAAGGCCTACTTTGGATGTCAAATTATTTGACGTTTGTGCGTCAGGGTTGCTGCATTCTCGAAACCTAGTGTACTTGTGAATTAGTTTTACATTTCGGTTCATAACTCTGTCAATTGTCAATTAATTCTGCGTAGTTAGACTTCAATTGAAGCCAATTGAATTCTATGGTGAAGTTTTGACGCGACTTCAATAGTTTGGCAGCTGCAAGGATTTAAAATTCCCGCAAAAAAAATTACAAGGCATACTTGGTTTTTTGACATCGCTTCATATTTTGGCTCATAACTCTGTCAATTGTCAACTGATTTTGACGTAGTTAGGCTTCAATTAAAACCAATCAAGGTTAAGAAATATTGCCAATAATTCCATTAAAATTTGAACAAATCAAAATCAATTATACATTGTCAGAAAGAGCAATAAATTCTCTATAAATCTGTGCTGAATTGAATTTAATATCTCGAATACTTTTCGAGCAATTGAGCCTCAAAGTTGAATTTTAGTCGACATTTAGTCAAAAACTTCAAAGTCAATTTTCTCAAAAACTATAAACCTAGAAAATACAGATTTTAAAGAGCTTGATAGGAGCTTCAATTCCTGAAAATTTTAATTCAATATCTTTCAGGGATTTCAAGACATTGAAGCTTTAAGATTTTGAAATAAGAATCCAGAGGGGGTAGGTACTCTATGAAAAAAATCAAAATTTTTATTTTTCATCGAATTTTGACTTTTCCAACCGATAGAGCGGGTCTGAGTTAGTCGAAAAAAACCCTAACATCTTTTCCACATGAGCACTTTACAGAGAAAAAAAAAATCAAAAAGAAAATTTAATATTTTGGTTCTGATTTTTTTTTGAATTACGACAAGGTTGAGAAAAATTGTCAATATTCCCAATAAAATTTGCATTAATCAAAATAAATTATACATTGTCAGAAATAACATCAAATTCTCTATAAATCTGTGCTAAATTGAGTTTAATAGCTCAAATACTTCTTGAGCAATTGAGCCTCAAGGTTGAATTTTAGTAGAAATTTAGTCAAAAATTTCAAACTCAATTTTCTCAAAAACCATAAACCTGAAAATATTTTTAAATAGAGGTTTTCTAGAGCTTAATAGGAACGACAATTCCTGAAAATTTTGATTCAATATCTTCCACGGATTTTAAGATATTGAAGCTTAAATACAGAGTAGAACCCTGATGATTTTCCTAGTCGCAATTATCCGAGCTATGGATTAACCGAGCCAGTCTAAAGACCCAAAAATCCTGATTATCGGAGGTACGTACATTCATACTCCGTATTAACCAAGTTTCTGAAATATACAGGGTGTTTTTTTATATATTGACACCCTACCTACAGCCTTTACCTTTACAGGTAGAAGAAAGGTGTAAATACAAAAGTTTTGGCTGAATTTTTAGAAACCATGATCAGAAACAAAATTTGAAAGTCGGAAATGTGAAATTTTGCATGCTTTCAGCTTTTTTCAAATGGAATGCCCTATATTTCATTCTATATTTTTGAAGAGCACAATGCCCCGATTCCAAATCGTATCTCAAATCAGAGTTTTTTTGAGTCACTTTGTGAAATTAACGACGATATATTCAGCTCCAAAAATTGTAATAGTTATTTACCTAACAAATGCGGAAAGTGATACTTTACCGCACGCAACGGCAGTTGACCGAACGACGCGAAGCGGAGTTCGGTCGAGCCGTTAAGGGCGGTAAAGGCACTTTCCGCATGTGTTAGGTACAAAATTTTACCTATGAGCATCTACATCTCCAAAAAAGGGCATTGATGAAATTAATTATTGAATCAGATTAATTAATGAAATAAGATTAGATTTAGAAATTATCAAAAATCCATTTTCTGGAAAAAAAAAGGATTTTTGATTATAAATATCAAATTCTACTTTACCGCACACTATGCTGTAAAGTTAACTTTACCGCATAGTGTGCGGTAAAGTGCTACTTTCCATTTGCAAATACGTGCGGTAAAGTGCACTTTACCGCACACTTTGTAGTCCACTTTATCGCATACTATGCTGTAAAGTTAACTTTACCGCACACTATGCTGTAAAGTTAACTTTACCGCATAGTGTGCGGTAAAGTGCTACTTTCCATTTGCAAATACGTGCGGTAAAGTGCACTTTACCGCACGCTCGTAGGTAAAAATTATATCCTACTTCTGATTTTGTAAACCATTCTACCTGTACAGGTGAAAGCTATGGGCACAGAAGCTATGGGTAAAATTTGAGGTATAAAAAATTTAGCCGATACTGTACAACTTTTGTATTTACACCTTTCATCTACTTGTAAAGGTGAAGGCTGTAGGTGGGGTGTCAATATATACAAAAAAAACACCCTGTGAGATTATCCTGTTTTTGTCAATTTGCCTTTTCACAGGAATTAGTAATGTTACTTTACCAAACTAGTAATATAATGTGACAAATTATTCAAGTACAAACGAGTGCATTGTTGCGGCACTTATGGGTGGACCGTGTGCGTCATCTATTCATCGATATGTTTAATTATGATACTAACCTGACTCACTCAAATGTGAGTTATTTTCATTAGTTTAAAAAGTACACGTTTCAGGTGAGTGTCTTATTTGAACAATTCAACAGTATATTGGTGAGTAGATGGCTGCGGAACTCGCTGCGCTCGTCCCGCAGAGTTCCACTTATTAGTTCCGCAATAACCCACTTATATGTACTTGACCAATAACTTATTATATAAAGTCAGCAAGGTTATCCACTTTTTATCAATTTGCCTATTAACAGGAATTAGTAATGTTACTTTACCAAACTCTTAATATAATGTGACAAGTTATTCAAGTACAAATGGATTATTGCGGAACTTATGGGTGGACCTCTGCGAGACGAGCGCAGCCAGTTCCGCAGCCATCTATTCATCAATATGTTGTGTAATTACGATACTAAACTGACTTACTCAAATGTGAGTTATTCTCATTAGTTTAAAAATTACACATTTCAGGTGAGTGTCTTATTTGAACAGTTCAACAGTATATTGGTGAGAAGATGGCTGCGGAACTCGCTGCGCTCGTCCCGCAGAGGTCCACCCATAATTTCCGAATAATCGGGGTTCTACTGTATTTCGAAATAAGAATCCAAAGGGGAAACTCTTCGAAAAAAAATCAAAATTTTTATTTTTTATATTTTTTAAACTTTGACTTTCCCAATCGAAAGAGCGGTTCTAAACTAGTCAAAAAACAATGTATCATCTTCAAATGACCATTTTAAATAGAAAAAAAAAGAAATCTTAATTTTTTAAAAATTCTGAAAAGTTTAAGAATAATGGCTAATATTTTTATTAATATTCGAGCAAATCAAAATAAATTATACACCGTTGAAAAGAGCATGAAATTCTCTATAAATCCGTGTTAAATTGAGCTTGATAGCTAGATTATTTTCTAAGCAATTCAGCCGTTGAAATTGAACATTTTCAATAAACCAAAAATTCCCAAACTTTTGCTTCAGCCCTCCTTTATTCTGATGTAAACGCACCCAAAGCTAGCACATGCAATTTCTATAGTTGACTTGATTGGTCATAAATGGCGCTCTGAATCAACTCAATCGAAATGACTGGGTTTACACCGGCATCTTTTAATGAAAATCCAAAAATTGAATCTTATTTTTTTCTGACAAAGTGGGCCAAAGACGGAACGTCGATTTTCAAATTTGATAATACATACCATATTATTGTAGATGATGTAGTGATTGATTTTAAATTAT